CAGGGATACGCAACTAGATTTTTCGACGGGCCAAATGTAAAATTTGAATGTTATATCGCGGGCCACAACAGTAAAATTAAGAATTTACAACCTATATTTTTGTCTTCTTTGAATTATCCAGGAATCACCACGTGGAGGTGAGACAAAGTCGATTCCCATTTTTTTTAATTTTTTTTGTTTTTTTTTTAATTTTATTTTTTTTGTTTTTTTTTTATTTTTTTAATTTTTTTGTTTTTTATTTTTTATTTTTTTTTGTCTTTTATTTTTTTTAATATGTATTTTAATATTAATGTGAAAAGTGAGCTTTTCCGTCTTGGCTTAGTTTTGTGAAATTCGGTTCGTAAGTGGTATTGGCCACTAACATGCAGTCGCGTAAATGGTTATCTGTGATTCGATTTCGATATTTATTTTTTATTATGTTCATCTTTGAAAATGCTGCTTCACAAACATATGTGGATCCAAACATTGTACATAACAAAGTACCCATTTGTTTTAGATTTGGATAAGATTGTTCAGGGAGTGTGTCTATCCAAAATTGTGTAATATCTGTTTCGGCAAATTTCTCTCGCAGCACATTACTCTCTTGAAATTCAATAATTTCAAGTTGCAGTTTAGCTTTTTCGAGAGTAAACAGTTGCACTGCTGCATTAACCCAATTACCATTTGTTTCAAGACTGAATGGGCTTTGCATTGCTTTTAATAAGTCGTCAATCTGTCCAAAATCTGTAAATCGGGAAGCAAATTCAGTTTGCATATCTTTCAAAAAGCGCTCGTATTCCTTAAATTGTGGAATTTTTTCATTGCTTTCAAAATGTGCTTTTAATAACGGAAAATGTATCAGCTCTCTAGAATTCAAATCATTTTCAAATAGTTTTAACTTTCTTTGGAAAGCTTTAATTTTTTCCCATATATCACAAATCAGTTTTCCCTTTCCTTGCAAAGCTAAATTCAGGTCATTAATATGTGAGAACATATCACACAAAAAGCATAATTTAGCAGTATTATTTGCATTGCAAAGAAATTCATAATATTCGGTAGCCGTTTTTGTATTTCTACTTTTGAGAAAATCTGAAATTTCACTTAGCAAAGTTATTAATCTTTTGAGTACATTTCCCTTGCTCAACCAGCGAACATCGTTATGCAAAAGAAGATCTGTGTATTCAGAATTACATTCTTCGAGAAAAGCTCGGAGTAAGCGATGTTGTAATGCTGAGTGAGATTTTAAGTAATTGATAATTTTCATTACTGTATTCATGACATTTTTTAAATCATTTGAAAGCTTTGCACAAAGAACTGATTGGTGAATTATGCAGTGTAATGAAATGACTTTAGAATTTATTTGCTTCAAAAGTGTTACAAAACCATTTGTTTTCCCAATCATTGCTGGTGCACCATCAGTAACTACCGAAAGAATTTTTTGGTATGAGAGGTTATTATTATTCATAAATTCCTGAAAACATTCAAATAATATTTGACCAGTTGTACGATCATGCAGTGGCAACAATGTTAAGAGTTCCTCTTTATAATTATTATTAAGAATATAACGAACAAACACAGCCATTTGTGCTACATCAGATATGTCTGTAGATTCGTCAATCGCAAGTGAGAAAAACTGTGTTTTAGTAAGATCAGCCAATATACTCTCACGAACTGATTTTGCGCAAATTTCGGTCTTACGAATCGTAGAATCACGAGATAATGGAATTTTGTTAAACATTTCAGTAATTTCTTTTTTATTATTGAAAACTGCATTTGAGACTTGTATCAAGCATTCTTTAACTACCTCAGAATATGAAAATGCCACCATATGTTTAGCCAAAATCCATGCAACACGCAAAGATGCTTCAGTGCATTTTTCCTGGTCAGACGTTGAGCGTTTCATTATTATTTGAGAATGCTCAAATGATGAACGAAGGATATTAATTTTTTCAATTCTCAGTGAAGAACCCTTTGGAAAATCTTTGTCATATTTTTTCAAATGTTTAGTCTCATAATGACGACTTATATTTGCTGCTTTACACGCAGCAACTGTTTCGTTGCAAATTAGACACGTTGGTTTCGCATTTTTATGAGGTGGAAGAATAAAGAAAAAATCTTCAGTCCATTTTGCTTGAAATATCCTGTTTTCAAAATCGACTTTTCGTCGCTTTGGCTCGGACATTGTAAAAAAGACGAAACAAAATATCAACTCTAGATAGAATTTCAAATAAAAGATCAACTCGCAAGACGGAAAGATTTTTTATAAAATGAGAATTTGAAAGAGTATTAATACTATTTTTAATATATACGTCCTTTTTTCACCGAAAATAATTTTCTCTCGAAACGTTAGTTATCAATAAAAAATGATTTATAAAGGCCAGATATTGTAACTAAAGTGCAGAAACATATGCCGACTCAATGGCTCGGCAACAAAGGCAGCAGTCAAAGATACCAGATTGTGGACAGAATAATACGGCGTCAATAGTAGTGAGGACAGTGGTAAAGATAAGTCGCTTGACGGCTAGCTGTGCAGAGCAAGATTGCCAAACACTCGCAGACGCATGCAGTCATCGGCGGTGCGGTGGGGATAGTGGTGGGGGGTGTCGCGCTGGCTGCCTACTGCCTGCCTGCCTGCTGCCGCTCGACCGACACCTCCCACCACTACTCCCACCGCGCCGCCGACAGGCTGGTCCGTCTGCAAATTAGCAACCTTGGCGGCCGCAAAGTGCTCTATGCAGCTAGTCGTCAGGGGGCTCATCCTCTTCACTAGAAGTGATATGTGTGTTTTCTCTTTTCTGTATTCGGAATCTCAGGATTCAGTTTAATTTAGTTTAGTTTTCATTTTTTTCTGCGAGTCAAATTTGGACGTCGCGGGCCGGATTGAAGAGCCTCGCGGGCCGGATCCGGCCCGCGGGCCGCCAATTGCGTATCCCTGCTCTAAGGTCACCCTCCTTAAGATGCCTTTTAACAGTGAAAACCGAAATTGCATTCTCCCTGGATTTATTTAGTTCGGCTGTTCTTTCGGGGGCTGTGTCTCTTCTATTTCTTTTACTTGTCGTTATTATATGACGATCTTCCGCCGCAGTCGTTTTTCTGGGTCTTCCAGATCTTCTTCTAGATGAACAAACACCTGTATCACTTTTGGATACTGTAACAGGCGCAAGACTTTGATACTCCTACTTTCTGCGCAATATTCCTTATCAAATATCCTTCTTTAGATAAAGTAACGATTTTGGAACGCATTTCTATACTCAATTTTGATTTCCATTGCAAAATCTGCTACGTGCATGGTGGAAAGCATGTACACTTCTTTCTTGTCAACACATTTTGTAGGTAATAAATTATTAGATGAGCGAAAAGATACCTCCCCTTTTTTAATCGATCATTGATCATTGATTATATTTTGTAATTATTTAATATTTTTGGTTTTATCTGTTATTCGTAACTTCAAAATAGCCTATATACATATTCTCTATCGGCGATAAATCGGGACTTTGTGGCGGCCAATCCAATAAATTTATATTATTAGTTTTAATATAATTCATAATAATTTTTGCTATATGAATAGGCGCATTATCCCGCTGAAGAATAAAATCGTTCCCTATCGCTTTCCTTCGGGTATAATTATATCTTGCAACAGCTTCAGGTAAACTTTCGAGTTCACTCTTCTAACTAATGATACAATCACTCCAGTGTCATTAGCCGAAAAGCATTCCCAAACCATTATGCCCTCGTTCATACTTTTCTGTCAAATTACTAAAATCTCTTGAAGTTACAAATAAAACACTTCATTGTAGACTTTGTGCTTGTAGCAGCGACACACTGTGCGACGGAGCGATAACGCGATACCAAAGCTTCGATTGTTGACGAACGTTACCGATAACGTTCGAAAATGCTTCGCTGTTCATAGACGCGGAACCTCGCTACTTACGCATATTTCTATCGAATTTTTTTATAGAATCGAACAGTCACTTATTAAAAAATCAACTCTGCCGGTTTCGCCGGTAGCTTAGCGACCACGTGTGGACCTTCATAGCGGTAGATGCCTATCCAATTGAGGTCTATGGCGGCCTCGAAACGATTTTCATCTTTCCGAGCACGCGGGGAGCTTGACGGCCACAGAAAACTCTTTAGTTTTCCGCACATGCTTGGCTACACTGTTGATAGTTGACACAATCAGACTGTTACGAATATAATGGTGAAATAATTGCTCTTTATAGCTTTTATTCCTGCGTCTATGATTACAATCGGTGCACCAATCGCTTATAAAGTAAACATATAATAACTGAAACGAATGCGCTTCTTCGCTTAGCGTTAAACAAACTTAACATTAACAAGCAATAAACATTAAACATTATAAATAAACTTCTTATTACGAATACATTAAATAAATTAAACTAAATCTGCATTAAACATTCTCCCCCTCGTACAAAATTCATTTGGATTTTGTACCTATTTTGCAATAAGTAGTCGAATGAGCTTCTTCGCTGGTCGCATAAACTCGCCCGTCGACGTACACACTTTGGCTACTCTAACTACTCCGTCTTCGCCAGGAAAAACCTCTATTATTTTTCCGCGTTTCAAAGTATTACAAGCTGCTCTCCAGTGATGTTCCATTTCGTCCTCGGAATTTGGGTGTAGTATAAACCAGCAGCCGCATTTAGGCTCTACTGCTGCAGCACTCCCCTTTCCAGGCACCGCGATGTCTCTTTCGTAGAACAATCCCAGAACGTAGACCGTGAGTACTGCAATGAGTCCTCCCTCCTGACCGCGGTACTTGCTATGCTGTCTATGTTTCCATTAAGCGCGTGCATCTCCCTGTTGTGGGCCAGCGAGTCCCTTATGTCCATGCTGGCCGACCCCCACAATAATCACTTTACTCGCGAGACACAGGGATATCAGGCGCCAAGAACCGGTAACCCAGCTCACCTGCGTTCTTGACACGGCCTCAGCCTATGCGCAGAACACTGTACACTGTCTCTTTAGAAGTCAGTAGTCACAAATCCAATCACACTATGGTACACTTCCTGGAACCTCCTATAGCACTCTATTATTCTCTCTCTCTGTGGCCCGCGGAACCTTTCGTCGGTTTTTTCACTACATCACAAATAAGGTAGCTTAACACGTAATTAACCCTTCCTAATACTAATGCATGCAAAAATCTGGGAATTAAGTACGTTCTTAAGATTCTTAAGAATCTTAATAATCTCTGTTGTGGTTTGAGTGGTGCTCTAGTAATTTTGGTTAACATTTCTTCGATTTCTATTTTCTGTTTTGTCGGTCCTTGTGGGGAATATGTCACACCTAAGTATTTCCAGGTATCGCCAATCTTCAATTGAGGTAAGTATACATTTTCTATTTTAAAAAATGATTCTTCTATTACTTTTATTTTCTTGTCCTTTCCTGAGGGTATTAACGAGAGACATTTGCATTTCTCCGGTGATATTTGTAGTCCATGTTTTTTCATTTCCGCTGCAATTATATCCGTCATTGATTGTAGGCCTTCCATCGTTTCAGCCATTAGGACTAGATCGTTTGCAAATGCAATAGCATTGATTAGTAATTCTGTAATTTGGAATCCTACCTCGTCTGGAAGTTTGTCTGTTATTTTGTCTATCACTGATTAAATATTAACGTTGATAATGGATCCCCCTGCCGCACTCCTTGTTTTGGGTTTATAATGATCTTTCTCCGTCTTTTTCAATGTACAATTCCGATTTAGTGTGTAATTTTTCCATATCTTCCTTCATTTTACCTGGTATTTTTTTTACCGTGTACGTCCCGGATGGTACCTTTGCTGGTATCAATATGAAGGTCCGGAATCGCTCTTGACTTGATAATCTTTTAGACCACGCGGTACGTGCGCCCGTCGCGTACAAGTATGACACAGTACTTACCGTCGTATGTCAGGGATCCCAGGGTGTACAAGTATGACACAGTACTTACCCGAAGCTTTTTCCTTAACTTTTACAATAGATTTCTTGTCTCGGATCCTTACGTAGTAGATCTTTCGCTGTGATCTTCTTCACAGGTGTATCAATAGGTAATAAATGATACTTAGCTTCGCAGATAACTGGTCGCGGAGTAGGAGCTAGACAGGGTAGGTATAAGGTGCGT